TATATATATATATATATATATATATATATATGCATGCACATATATATGTATGAATATACAGGCACACACACATGTATGCCATATATCACTAACCCATTTTTATCTCAAAATATTTATTTCTAATTATTTCTTTTCTAAATATACTTCCTGGTTTTAAAATAGTTTGCAATGAGTTTATAAGCCGTAGAAAATGAATCAATCAGCCAATTCGTTACAGATTTCCGAAATATTTTGTTTAAACAAATCGAACGCTAAAATAACTTCCAACGATCTGATTCGAGCAAGAATCCACATAGGAACGAAATGTCTCTCCAAGACTTTTGGAGCAAGTAAATTTATGCTCAAAGAAAATAACATGGTGTCTATTACGTCTTATGAATTAGGTTTGTGCTCTAACCGTTATGTTGAAAGGCTTGTACGGAAGAAAAGTCGGACACTTTTCTGTTATAGTGTCTACTGAATTGGACCAATTAGCCTACTTGCGTGGATAGAGTAATGGGCCATATAATATCCGGTGTTGTTAAAACAAAATCCGTGACTAACGGAAAGAAAGCCATTTTCATTTTTTTTTATCCATTATTTTCAAAAGACGTGCCAGCCATTAATTTTCTCACTCTCTTAAAAGAGTATTGTAAATAAAATTTAAAAAAAAAGAACTTGTAATAATTGGATATTCGAAATTAAAACAGGCCTTTTAATTACAATATAAAGTATTTCATTCTGTTTCCAAAGTTGAGAATTGAAATTAAGATTAAATTTCGTAAACTAAATATCGTCTGGCACAATCACAAGCTAGGAAGAATGGAGTATAATAAAAATTTAGACTTTTCATTTTCTGCATAAAATTAGTGGTAATTAATTGATGTAGTTTTAAGCACATCTCCAAAAACCAAGGTGACCAGAATCTGGAAGCTGATCTTTTCTCTGATCTATCTCTTAAAGCTCAATGGAAGAAAACTGGTTTTTAACATTCAATAATTACCAAATCATGCTAGTAACGTTTCATTATCAGTGAGTAGTAATGATGAACAATTATACTCTCTATGAGACTCATTTTCTTAATATCTATTAAGATAACAATTTAACTTTAAATGTCAAGTCAAATTCATATATCCAATCCATGGCGGAAGCAGCTGGAAGCATAATCGGTTGCTTCTCTAGTACTCCATAAAGTATCTGACTCCTCCTCATGCAATTTACCTTTTCAAAACTCAGATCAGGTTAATAATGGAGTACTTTTTTCTATTTTATCTGAAGCTGATTAATTCCTCATTTTCCTGTCGTGATATAGTCTAAAATCGTCTACGGATACTTCTGAGTAATGAAACATTGTTCTACATCCCTTTATCGACAGTAGAGAGACGCTTGCTACCCTACCGTTATTTTCATGGAAAATATTCTGAAGTTCTACATACCTTTGTTGCGAGAATTCAGACGTTTAGATCTTAAAACTTTCTTACCTGGTATAAATGGTCAAATCATTCGTATTCCTTTTGCATTCCATTGGTAAGAAGGAATTTCCGTTCGGGCAGCTCCTTCCCAATGCAACCCCGATCAGTACAGTCTTAAACTCTTTAAGTCTAGAGTCAATTCTTATCCACATTCAACAGTTTCATTCGGTAAGCCTTTAATTTGTCTAGAGCTTGCGTCTCGTATTAGGTGAACATAAATAAATGAAGTTGACGCGATTCAGTTACTAATCTCAAATATCAGACAATAGGTAACTATTTTTCTCTTAACACTTCGCCCAGAATGCTCTTTATCTTAAATTTGCAATTAGACAACTTTTAAACCAGGGGACCGTTCGAAAAACGGCGTTAAATGTAAATAAATTTTACCAAGATCTACTACAAGGAAATTTGGTTCACAGCGTTTACCGGAATATTTTTCTCGTTTGAATCCATCTTGCACATGTACAAATCAACCATTCATCTGCTGCCATATCTGGTCTGGTGCACCTGCTATTCATCTCGAGGTTCTTGACTAAATACAAAGAAAGAATCTGTAATGTAACGGATAAGCATCTCAAATTCAGTCATGTTTTCACCGACGTGGCGTGGCTTCCTTCTATCTTTATTACAAATATTTTCGTGTCAACTGCACTGACGAGATTTTTTTTCCTGGTACCCTGATTGTAGCAATTTAAGCGTGAAACTAGATTGGCATTTCGGTCCCACCCGTTTCTTAGTGAAATAACTAATTTCAACCGTCACTTCCACTCCAACAGTTTCTTTTCTCACACTTCCTCCCTGTTGAAATCCCTTCCATTTACTTGCTTCCCTGATAACTGCAATCTTAAAAAATTTAAATGCAAGGTCAATCGACATCTTCTGTCTTATTCAATGACATTTATCTTTTTTGCTTTCCTTAATCCCCCTATACCCGATTTTTATTTCACTTTCACTTTCTTTAGCCCTCTGCGTACTAGTGACATTCTCGCGTTGCTTGGAGTGAAATGATTAAAAAATGCTGGATAAATTATCTCGGATGAAAACCTTGTTTGTAACACCAAACATGTGGTTTCAGCTAGAAATACTGAAAATATTATGGATATAACATGTTCTCATTCTGCTTTCTAAGGTTTTGTAATGTTATGTTGAAAAAGATGTACCATATTTACTATTTGGACAATGACGCGAAAAACTTGATTCGACAGCGTGATACACCTTTCAATGCAATAAATGGAGCTACTTATTCGATATACTCGTTCCACTTCAAGTCAGTTCAAAACATGACACTATCAAGGTGCAATGGGTCGATCACTAGGAGCCTAGTATCGGCCATGCTGTTGTCAGGCAGGAAATATTATCTATGGTGGTTAAAAAGAGCAATTTCTTTTTCAAGATATTAAAATTTACAAGTGATTTCCTGCCCCAGGTAACCACTGACTTGGAGGTCCTTTTAAAGAGCAGCGGCTTTATTAACTTGGTCATCCGTGACGTATTTGCTATTGAGACAGGAGTAAGCGCCTAAATGCCTATTTGGGAACTGATGACATCAGGAAGATAGTTGATAAAGATCATAAACAGCGGAGGACATTGTATAGAGCTCTGGAAGACACCTTCGTTCGTGTGAAAGGATTTGGAAGTGAACCTGTTCAAAACGGCTGTCGTTTCACGATTTTATCCTGTTGGTCCTTAAATAACGTAGCCCTGGAGCTGACGCTTAAGACCAGAGTGCTAAACCTTTTCAATCGCCTTCGAGATATCTACAGCCACACCTCGAGTTTCGCTGTTATTATCAAGAGCTTCATATACATATTCAGTGATGGCCATAAACACTTCTGCAGTAGACCTGTCAAAACGGAAGCCATATTTTTTGTCTGATAGTAGGTCGTGAGAGGTGAAATACTAAAACGTTTCGGCATTGATTAAAGCCTCGAATACTCTGCTGAAATGCGGCAGGAGACTAAGAGAACGATAGAGGAGTCAGGAAGTTCTTCAGAATTCTTGAAAACAGGAACTACCGAGGAGGAAATCTAACAAGCTGGAAAGCAGAAAGTAGTGAGACAATAGTTGTAGAGTTTGGAGAGAAATAGAGACAACTCGAGAGCACATTTTCTTAGGCCGACGGTTGATATCCCATTACCTCCGCTTGCCTCATGGGAGTCTATTTTAGAAATGATGCCCGAGACCATTGACGGGGTTATGCGCATATAACTCAGTAGAGAATCGGTTCTAAAGGTGCCATCAGGTGTGGGTACACAAAATGCGCCAAGTGTTGAGTTGGAAAAGAATTTTTGAGCAAATCATTCAACCTTATCTGCTGTAGATGTATGCACTTCGAATTGATTGAATAGAGGTGGGTTGAGGATTTGCTGTGTTCAGCAGACACTTGCAGAGCCGCCTGTAATCTTTATAAACGAACTTGCAAGATGCCTTTTGTTACCTTCCACCATCAGTCGTTACGAGACATCTGTTGCAATCAGATTTGTCACACTGGTACAGCCTGAAGAAGTGATTCGTGTGTGATACAGCGGCCGATCATGCAGCTTGGAACCAAGGAGATGAACGCAATTTAACTTGGCATTTCCTTGAATCGATGACGGTTTTCACCCTAAAAGAGACGTCAGACGTTCATTTTTGATCAGGATGATAACAAACTTAATTCCAAAGGACGTCAAGAAGGATATTACTGAACGGGTCTCAATCCGCTTGCGAATAACAGAAAGATATTATGATGATAGGAACTTTTTGGCTGGTGAGGGAAAGGAAAGAGATATTTACACGCACTACCGCATGATCTGAGTTGCCAAGAGGTCAAAGCTGCATACTACGAAATGAACCAGGGAGAGATGTTTAAAAAAGAGATCTAGAAGAGAACCAGGTCTACCAGGATTGATGGGAAAACTCGTGGGTAAGTCCAACACTTGTGTGACAGACTGAATGATTGAATGCCGGCAATGTCAGTAACAGAGTGTTTAAGCCACCTGTCCGTTAAAGTCACTGAACAGAAATATATTTGCAAACGGGTGGAGGGAGATAGCCTTGTTTATATCATCATAAATAGTATCTAGCATGCAACTGCCATAACAGGAAGGGTAACGGTAGAGAAAGAAGTAATAACTGAGTTTAGAGAGAGACGAAGACACATGGAAGAATGGTCTAGATATTGAAGAGATGGATATATATATATATATATATATATATATATATATATATAGAGAGAGAGAGAGAGAGAGAGAGAGAGAAAGAAAGAAAGTTCTCTACCCAGCAGGAGATGCTTGTGAACACAAGTCATACATTAACACTATATGAGATATTAGATGCTACACAGCAGTTTAACATTATCTCTTTTATTTTTAACCATATTTTAATACATTGTTCATTTTCTGGAATACATATGCAACCATTCCTATGCACCTTCGGGTTTCTGTTTCACATTTATTTCGTCTGTTACTCCAATTCTTAGATATTTAAATATCTGCATCTTGTAGTCTCTTATACATAATTCACACCTGTCCGTCTATCATAATCATTCATTCTGTTTTTTTACAGGGCTTACGGCCACATCAGGTTAAAACACCTGTTCCGGTACGATCAACGAAGTTAAGCAACGTCGAGATTTGTTAGTACTTAGATGGGTGACCACTTGGGAATACCAGGTTGAAAAGCTTGGGTGTGCACGTGGTGTAATGTATAATATCTCGAAAGTTGTATATCGTTATTCGCTATTTTGTTAGGTTCCTTATATTCATTTACACGCAAATACTGTAAGACGTATGACAACTCCACCTCTTCTCCACAAGCTATGTGTTAACCAGTAGTAGTTCTATCTCTAAGCCGTTATTCACCTCACCAAAAATACTTACAATCTGAAAATATGTTCTGGCTTTAAATAACATGTAAATCGTTGATAAGCCGTCGAAAACAAATCAACCAACTAAATGTCTACTTAATAGTCATTAATTTTAGCTTTCCTTTACTAACATGTATATGAATATTTCAATTTCTGTCCTGAATCTACAACCAGCACAGCGCCGTCAGCATTTTTTATGCGTTTAATATTAGGTCTGCCGTTAATAAACTCTCTGTGGTTTTCTGGTTCTCTTGTAAAACTCAAATAAATCCGTTGTGAAAACACATTTTTTAGTCATTGTCTATATTTTTGTCTTCAAGTAATATTAAGCCTGAATTTTTGATCTGCTTATTGTTATGAAACGAAAGGTGAAAATTAAACATATATTAAAGTGTTCGGAACCTCCTAATAGAATAGAAGAACTTGCACAAAGAACGTTTGTGATATTCAAAGATTACATTAATTTGACAACAAATCGTTAAGCACACTGAGCTTAAAGGAAAAAAATATTGTCAGAGAGATATTGTCATCTACTCGCTAAGCAGAAATTTAATCGACTAAGAAAAATTCAAAATTCATTTTTAGATTAACTTAAAACTGATATCAAATTTTACAAAGATTAAGGGCAGATAATTGAGTATATTACATGTAAAGGATTTTTCTTTAAATGGCTGCCGTATAAGCCAAATCCATGTATTGTGTGACCCTTGACATTTGAATGAGTTTTAAGCCCCTTCTGAAAAATTACCTGTATATAATGCCACTGTTCACTGAAAATGCATGCTGTTTAAACACTGGGTTTAGAACAACTTCATAAATTTGCGTAAAGAATTTTGATGTAGAATGTGTAAAAGGTTTGTCATCAAAATGGCTCCCGTATATAAGTATAAGACGAATTCATGTATAGTACGACCCCTGACTTTTTGTGCGCGAATTTTCATTCTTTCAGAAACAAATACCTGTATATAGTCACCGAAAATGCATTATGTTTAAACTCTTCATAAAAAAATTACCTACGTATAGTGCAACCTCTTATCTGTATAAAAACAAAACTGAACATCAAAAATCGTAATATACTCTTTATATACGGTAGAATTATTTTGTATTTTGGTCGATCGTTTTCGTAGAAAAGGAACACTACCAAAACTTCATTTACAGCTTAGCAATGCGTCCTTTCTATTTAGGGTATTATGTGTTGAAACGTAATGAATTGGTAGCTCTTAGAAAATAAGCTTATGCCAAACTCAATAAAGAGAGAAATATTCGAATTCAACGAGTAGTGTACTCATTCGTTTTCAGCAACTTTCTAGATTTCAACATGCGATTTTCCTAGTATTTATTTATTGTAGGACTTCTTCGGTTATTTTATGAACGCATCACGCTCGAATGTAAGCAAGCTGTCGGTTATTTGCAGTGAATGTCAGTAAGATGTTCTATCAATCGGGGCTTTTGATAGTTTTCTATAATCTTACGTCTCGAGGTTAAAAAACTACAGCGAAAAACAGCCATGATTATTTATCTTCGAATTGAAAAGTCGACCATTACGTCTGCTCAGAAATATTAACAGAATGCAGTATATCGCGAAACAGCTATTAATATCAAATTCCATTATATAATTCTGCAGGTACCACTGAAACTCAAACTGATATCAATTTCTTCCGCTTTTTTTTTTTCTAGCCCGATTTGTTCCAGGACTCTAATAAATATTGGTACAACTGCCAGATCCACGTTCCATAAAATACTGAGACAGTTAACTATAATACCTTTTAGGTGTACTCCGTTTTCTTTCAAAATGATGCAATCCGTTATCTGTCACGTTCTATAGATTCTTGAATAGGATGTCTTCTCTGTGTCGGGTCAGGGCGTGGTTTATTATGGCTGTTCACAACATACTATTTATTGTATTTCTTGCATTCTTTAACCATTTGCCAATACTCACAACAACGTACGCCTATCCATTTCTACAATCTCGTCAGGTAAGCGTCACATTTCCTCTCCGTTCACATTCCTGCGGTATATTCTAGCCGTTTCAAATTCTCAAAGACTTCCTTAGTTATTATGTATGCCAGAGGTTTGAGCTGTCTCTCTTTTTATTCTGAGTATAAGTCTACTGATTTGCGGTGCCAAAACTACATTAAATCAATAGTCGCATCTACCGAAAGGAAAGTTGGTTCTCTGTGTCCTGCCAGGAGGTTTTTCACGTTCATTCTCTACATCTACAAATGTACTATTCGTCTATGCTTTGAATACTGTTACCATATCTAGTCCCATGCCCCTGCTCTTTATCACGTGGCTTTCAACAAAATCCAAAGACGGAGTAGCAATGTGATCGTCCTGACTTGTCATTTCAACTCCAGTCACAAATGCGATGTGGTTTCCCTCTGTCTTTTTTTAAAAATATTTCCATGGCAACTTCTCTGATGAACTATTTTCCCTGGTGCCCCGACTGCATGAATTTAAGTGTGCTACTAGTTTGGCATTTAGGTCCCAACCTTTTACTGTCGAAACATTTAAATGTAACTCTTCTACCCCAACAGCTTCTTCTCTCGCACTTTACGACAGTGGAGCTCTCATCCTCTTATTTGCTTTCTTGATAACTATAATCTTCAAAATTTAAATGTGACGTCAGTCTATATATATATATATATATATATATATATATATATATCTTGTGATGCCTTGGTCCACGTTCTTCTTTTAATGTTTTCCTCAATCTCGCTATGCCCAGTCTTCTTTTTCACTCTGTAACCCCTTGCGCCCTAGTGGAACTCCCGCCTTTCTTGGGCTGAAATGGTTAAAAAATAAATGTCATGTTTGATTTTATTTTTCTTAAGACTTCTTCGTTAATTACGCGCAAAGTCTATGGCATTCTCAGTATCGTTTTGTAGAACAAGATTTTTCTTGCTTTGAGTTAACTCTTTATCTTTGAGGAGATTGTGTATCATCCACTGCAATACAAGAGAATTCCTATTGTATAACGAATGATCGTATTTTCCTTTGTTTCTTATTAAGTTTCCCTGTTCCCCAGTTAATTGCATAACATTTGGAATGGTGTTCCATTAAGTGTTTAAATTTTGGTGTCTCATTTTCTATTCTCAGTTTAAAAATTTTCCTGTTATTAAATCTTATGTCAATTCACTTATGAACCCTGCGTGATACACGCTTATGCGATCAGGTATCTTTCAATACATGACTGACGAGGAAGTTTTTTCTCACAGTAGGTTGCCATTTCTTTCTGTGGCAGACCAGTTCCCATCCAAGGATATAGAACCCGGTCTGTTCAGAGTAGAGATCAGTTGCCTCGCTCTGGCCATCTAGACTTTCGAAACTTCCCACATGTACCGTTGTAACATAAGGATAGATAACTACAAAAGTTCCGATTAATATATACACATAGCTTAAAGTCGAGAAGATATGGATTTGCACCTTTCCATATTTGCGCGTAAGTGGATATAAAGAACTCGAGAGGAATTGGAATTCAGCTCTCGGCTATTTATTAGTCCACTCAGTTGTGTGCCATGCGTGATACACGATTAGACGATCATGTATATTTCGATACATGACTGACGAGGCAGATTTTTTCTCGCATTAGGTTGCCAGTTCTTTCTGCGGTAGACTAGTTGTTATCCAAGGCTGTAGAACCCTATATGTCTTGCTATTTACTCAAAGCTAGGGGAGGGGGAGAAGACGAGGATTCACATCTTTCCCAAGAGTGTTAGCGCGTAGATGAATGTAATGCATTCGATTAGAATTCGGACTCGGCTCTCCGTTTCCTCAGTCCGAACCGCTATCCATTACTCCACTGTATCGACATCTCACAATTCATAATTCGCATCTTGAATTTTTTCAAGGATAAGCTTTCTGAGCGGATGTATGCAACATGTAACACGAGATGGCCATAGGAGAACTACAACACCGATCGAGTTTTATAAACAGCGGACATAATTTTAAGAACACATGATACTCGGTTTATAATGTGTTTACTGATTTGAAGAAGTCTTACACAAGTTATTAAATGAAATCAAGAAAGAAGGATTGTAAAATCGGAATATCCGCTCGTCGAGGAAGAGATGGGACCCAACGTGTGAGCCTGAGCTCTTTGCCTGCTGATTGTTTACAGATTTGTCAAAAGACGTCCCCCAAAATGATTTGGGGTCGTTACAATCAAGTTCTTACACAAATGTAACTATTTGGGTAGTGTCGTTTCAGATGATGGATACGGGGCATAGACATGCACCTGAGCAAAAACGTGCCTTCTAGAAACGAGCAAAACATAGAAAGAGATGAGGAAATGTCGTTAGAAACAAAGAAATAAGGGCTGGACTACTATGTAATATGTAACTTAATACATAGCAGGGAAGACATGACGATATCATTGTCGATGAAGACGAGATTCAAATTAAAGATTTCTTGAAAATTCTGAGGTTACTATGAGTATAATGTAGAGACAAATACGAGGAAACGTCTCCAATCAGAAACAAGTGATATTTTTGCAGTAATAGGTATTGGGATTAGGATTGATTATTCTTGGAGAATGCGAAGTAGGTAAAACAGCAAGTAAACTACATAACGGGATTGCGTAAACGGATGACCAAACAAGGACAAATTATATTGGTAGTATTAGCGACTAGCAGGAGAGCCCGGCGTTGCCAGGGGATGTAACCGTAAGAGATAGATCAAGTATCGACCATCATAAAGACTGAAAAATAAAATTGACAAAGATTATTGTTTAAAGTTGACGAACACGCATGTCTTAATTAGTTGTTTTTTTTGTTTTTTTTGGGTTTTTTACGAATTGGTCAAACCCT